AGATGTGGTTTGTCCACACATGTGTTTTATACAAATAGAATGTTTGAATAGGCCTACACATGTGCATTTATTCCACATATATTTAAATAATTAAAAACATATATATTTATGACAATTGATGTCATTTTAATTTAACTATCCTTTTCCGATTAGGTCCGATTCTTTTTTCTCAAAATAAAGCACATGAGCTAATACACACAAACACGAACAGATGCTTCATACCATTATCTCCATAAATCAGTTAAAATATAATAATAAGCTAAACATTCATTATACTCAAGTTGTATTGACAACATTTATACATATTCAAAATTAAAAAAAAAAGAAACGAATACGGTATAGTTATTTTAAGTTACTTTTAAAGTATTTTGTATATCTAAATGCCCAAGGACAAACAAAATGGCTTTTTTTACACATTCTACAGTGAGTGACCCGTAATATAATTGTGGTGACCCGTGGGCTTTTGTTGGTGACCCGTGTGATCTAGTATAAGTGAATATTTCAATGTGATAACTGATCTAACTTATCTCTATAAAACAGGAATGAACACGAGGGGAAACATTGAATTGATCCATTTCGTTCAATTCCCTTACTTAATTTCTTCTAAGCCGACACAAATGTAAACTCACTAAGTATTAAATAAAACAGTTGAGTTGTCGTTTAATTGCTAGATATTTGTAAAATACGTTGTAGGGTAAGACGATTATCTTGAGTATGTCGTATGAGTGATTACATGGCAATTGTGTAATTAAAGTCAAATATAAAATTAGGATATCAGTGTTTATGTAACAACTCACGTTTCATAACACATTTTATTGTTATTCTAATATTTTTTAAAATTGTTTCCAAAAGTAAAAGTGTAACAGCATGCACGTTAATGCAATGTTGCTCTAATTTATTGTATCGGTTTTAAAAAAAAAAAAGTGTATATTATGTCCTTCATCCGGCCGCTATATTTAGTTTAGTTTATACACACTTAAAAGAACCCTTATATTGTAATCTTACTTTGAGACACCAACGGCAACAATTGTGGTACCAGATATTTACTGTTATTGAGTTCGTAATGGTTTTGTCCAGGGATCGGCAACCTTTTGAGATGGAAGAGCGAAAAGTTACAATTTTAAAAATTTCCCAGGTTTTAAAGTTCCACTAACATTTTTTTTTTATTTCAATATTTATTGTTTTGTTAGGATTACTAAATAAATTTGACTTGTTATTTAAAATATATCTTTATATATATATATAATATTCATTCAAATAAAAACATAACGCTTGTTTCGCCAGAGTAATATAATTAGTAATAAATAAAAACAATAATAAAGTACTCTCCTTATCCGCTTTTTAGAAGCAGTTAACTTTTTTTTTTCTTTTCGGACATCACCGGCTCAGGAGGTGTCTCCCATTAGCCAGGCAGGCCTCGGCACGGCTATCTCAAACTAACTGGCTTGGGTATATGTTTGATTACCGTGTATCCGTCGCTTATGTCCTTTGGTTCTCACCAGGCTTCTTATCTTCCACCCCAATGGACGCAGGGTAAAGTCGTACCCCACCGTCCTGTACTCGGCTCAACCGTAGGAAGCTAATAACTAAAAAAACTACGTCACACACGTCAAATTAATGATTACTGACTGATAGGGAAATGCATTCTGAATAAAAAATAACATTTCCCATTTAACGATATCCGAAAAAGTCAGCACTTGGAGTTGTTGTCACGTGTCTGTCCCCAGCACGGATGTGGGCCTGGTGCCCAAGCGGCTGTCCGTATACTTTCTATTGCACATGTTCTCACTGTTCTCTGATGAGTTTTTTTTTTCTTCTGTTTAAGCTTGTGTTTCTTTACAGTATAATTTTTTATATAATTTATGAAAATGAAAATAATGTAAATATTGATATTAGTGATTATAGCTGAAGAGGCGCATATTGACATCGAAAGAGCCGCACGCGGGTCACTAGCCCAGGGGTCGGCAACCTTTTGAGATGGAAGAGCCAAAAGTTACAAATTAACACAATTTCTCAGTTCTAAAGAGCCACTAACATTTCTGTTTCAATAATATGATATTTGATTATGATTATATTATATATATATATATATATATATATATATATATATATATATATATATATATAATTTAAAATAAATAGCTTTCCATATGAAATAATATTTATTCATATAAAAACATTCCCATGTTTCGCACAAAAATATTAAGGTATTTTAGCTAGCTCTGCAAGAAATATAAAATCATTAATCAAATTATATAACTATTTAATATTTACAATAGTTACAAAATGTTATAGTGCCGGATTTGCAAGACTTGTCAAAATGGCGGAAAAAAGAAAACATGCGCACAGGAAAATGCATATCTTTTAAAATATTAACATTTTAAGTGCAAAATACATTTGAAACTTGTAACAGTACCATATTTCTATCTGATAAAAATTTAAGAATAACAATATTTTTTACTACTTCGTTATATCAAGTGTACAACAAGCGTCCCATAAGTGGGACGCTAGCAACGAATGGCCCCATGTAGATTGTTACACAAACGTCCCATTTATTGGACACTAGCGAGAAACACATATGCAAATATTTATGTTAAATGGTTATTTATGGTAAAACCAGTGTTGACTTTGTTAACTGTTGACTTCGGGGTATTAAGTAGTATTTATAGATATTTAATTATGACCTTGAGCTATATTTTCTTATATATTATTGTATTAAAAAATTGCAAATATTGAAAAACTTACATTTTATTTTTAAGTTTTCAGAATTACACTTACTGAAGTATTTAATACCATTGAATACAAAATAATTTAGTATTGCTGTAAATTTACTAGCGCGTGATATTAAAATTATAACAAACCAGAATAATAACAATGGCCACAATTTAGGTGAAATGATTCAGTAATGGGGGTTGGTTAACTCTCTTCATATAAGAGAGCTCAAGCTACATATAGCAGAAATGTGAATTAGCTGTGTACAGTTGTCATGCCTCAATAATATTCCCTCCAAGGTTCCCCATACCAGTATTACTTTGTTAACTTTTTAAGGAGATTCCTGGTGTTAGATTGGGAGCTGTTCGCATAGTGAGGTGCATACATAGATGAGAGCCATGAACACTCAATACAAGCCCCCAGAGACGGATCCGTGCCCTAGAAATAAGATGTCTGATGTCCTAATGTACGCCTGTGAGGGAGGGGAGGAATGGCGAGGGTAACAAAAGAGAAGATGGCTGGATGACATCTGGGACTGGACCGGGTCATCTTTTGCAAATTCACTGAGGGCAGAGTTTCTTTCAGGTATCATTTCAGAGGAGAGGGGGTGATGGGCTCTGCCCTCAGAACAAAATGGAATTTATGTACAAAACATACTTTTACCAATGTCCACCCTCCCCCTAAAATTTAAGTCCCCACACCTGAAAATTTCAAGTACGCCCGCCAAAAAATCAATTATTTATATTTGATTAAATTACAGTTTCGATGAATAATAACAATATTTGTGATCATGTGTGTATAATTAGATGTACCAGTCACATCTTTACTTATTTCCAAGTGTTATTCACTTTGATGGATGCTAGATTGAAAGAAAACTAGATTTTGAACATAATTTCTGCATTTTAGACCATGGTATGGCTAAACCAATAGATCATTATCAGTATTTTTAGCTGTCCTAAACAATGTAATCAATGGCCTAACAATATAAAATCAGTATACAGCTTAATTTTTGCGTGAATAGCCATATTTCGTGATAAATGATTTTATTTTTCAATAAATGTACATGGGGCCGTTCGTTGCTAGCGTCCCATTTATGGGGCGTTTTTTAAAAAATCGATATTTAAAAAAGTATTGATTTAAAAAAAAAAAATCCATAGTCATTCCTTCATTCAGTGCCCAAAAGCTAAACCATATCAAAAAATTATAAAAATGTGAGACCTTGGGATAATATGGGTTAACAATGACCGATAAAAAACTTTTACTTCGGCGCCCCACGTTTTTCATCGCTTATAGTAGAGTGATCGCTTGCATTATTGTGATGTATAGGATTTATTTTCTACTTTTTAGTTCAATCAGAAAACGTGGTTTTTTTAAAACTTTTTTACTTGTTAGATGGCTTCTATACTTTTTATTATATTCATGCAAGAAAACGCTTGCACGCATGAATATGTTGACTCGAAGATCTTCAGCACTCCAAATGCCACCTTTTTACTTTCTCGTATATACGTAGTATAGAGAAAGTATTGTAATCGTGCAAAAAAAAAAATCGAGATTTTTACAAATCTCGACGTTTTACACCTCACTGATACGGAAAAACATAATTTTGCAATCTTGTCCGTATGTCTGTGTGTGTGTCTGTGTGTGTGTCTGTCCGTGTGTAAACACGATAACTTGAGTACCGTTGCAGCTAGGTTGATGAAATTTCATATATAAGTATTTTATCAAAATCGTAGATACGTATCAACTTTTGAGCGATTTCCGATAACCGGAAGTGGTACTTTTCCTACTTTGAATTTTTCAAAAGCCTATAACTTGAGTACTATTTCAGATAGATAAATGAAATTTCACATGTAAGTAAAAGATCTAATTCTCTACCTTCTGTTAAATTTTTAGTAATTTCCGTTGACTGGAAGTAGTAATTTACGCTACTTCCGATTTCTCAAAAAACTAATGTAAATTTTTAAAGTACTAATAATATTGCGCACTATTATACGCGTTTTTATTCGGCGTTTGCTTGGTGCGCAATCTTTTTTTTTTATGAGATTCTATTCTATTTTTAAAAGTTTAAGTATTTAAAATGGATTAAAAATCATAACTATATCCCCAGTTACCATCCCCTGTTGTTTTATATAAGAATATTCGAGAACGTTTAGGGGAGATCACTACCGGTTTATTCATCTCACTGTAGCATCCTGGAAGACTATTTCCATGCGTCACATAATAGTGCCTCAACTTGTGGCATTTCTTTTAGAGCTGTCTACTTATGCAGCGATTCGTGCATGTTTTACTGGACCTCAAACTCTCCTAACTTGCTCCGTAGATCTGTGAACTTACCACTCCAAAAATGCTTGGTTTTTATATCCTGCAATTCCACTTGATGCGAGCAAGCATCAATTCCAAATTCCTCACAGTTAATCTCATTTGTTTTTGTGTTAAGAGAATCTATTAAGAACGTCCGAGTACTTGCATTTGTTTTGAATTGCTCAAATATCTCAGTAAACCAATCCGTCATTATGTTTATAGTAATGCTGATGTGATTCATGTTAATAGTAGCATCGGTTTCATCATGATATTTTTTAATATTTTTCGAAATTAAGTAATTTTCCAATTCTTCAAGCAAGTTATAGGCTGGGTTTTCTTTTCATTGCAGTTGTACATTTAGCTTTAGTTACTTTATGATATCTACCATGAAGTTTAATGTTTCAATTTGGGATGGACAAATAAATAGGAAGTACAGTGAAATAGGGAGTAACTAAACATTTTAATACTCCACGAGTGTTTATTGTTTATATTTATTACTATAAGTTTAAAAAAAAAAAGAATTTTTGAGTTTTAAAAATAAAATATAAAAATTATTAATACTTATGCATGGAGCTGAAGAGCCGCATCTTGACACCAAAAGAGCCGCATGCGGCTCGCGAGCCGCAGGTTGCCGACCCCTGCACTAGCCACATGTTGCCGACCCTCAGTTATATGTATAGATCTAGTAAAAATTCTCAGGAAAAAACCCTATTTTTAGCGATGAGAAGAGTACTATTTAGTCGACTTTATCTCAAGTCTTTAAAATAGGTAACATACATCATGAATGTGTTTTTGTTTCAATTACATATATATATTAAATAGAAAACAAAGGCGATCTATAATAATTTTTAATTAAGCATGTTTACTATACATTGCTTTTGTTTATACTTATAAAAGCATATGTGTGTTTTCATTTAATTTGTTTCCAATGTATTTAATGTACGTGCTTTGTTAATTAAATATGTAATTATTTCCCCTACTAAAACTTACAGAAGAAAAAATAATACAATATAATACTTACATTGCTTAAAATGACTAACGGTAAAGAAGACTTAACTTACTATAATCACTATTGTGCTTTGTAAATTGGTGGTAGCCATTTTACTAACATTTAGACACATTTAAATAAATAAACTAAATAGAAAATATGTATGTATGATATATAGTACTATTTTGGGAGCAGTTCAAGTGTGGCTCTATATAAAGTTGTGTGTTAGTTCCATATGGCAGAGTTTATGTTAATACAATCCTTAATAATTTATTGAAACTGTCGTTTGAAGCAGACAACACAATGGTGTAGTCAGATTAGACCGAGGATTATTACGAGATAGGCGAGACAGTCAAAGTAGAGAATAGCAGGGTACAAGAGTGTAGATGATTGATTATGTGCAAATAAAGAAATATTACAGCATGTTTTCAATTGTACTTGTGTTTGATTTTACACTTTATGCCAAGCTACATACGATTAAGAAAAGGCGATCCCGGTTAAGTAACGTCCGACATATCAGCGTACTATTATATAACGTGTCACACATTGGTCTACATTTACATATCATGGCATACATTACCTTACACTTAAGTATGATGCCATTCATGATTTTCCAGATAACTTAACTATATGTGTATTACCAGTCACACGTTATATATGTAGTGTACATATCTGCAATAATAATGTGTATCTATATCAATTTCAGCGTCCTTACAACAATTGAGTTTTTATAACAATCAATTGTCATATTTTTTTTCAAGGAACCATAGTCATCTATCAACCCAACATCACAAATATAGACGTTTCCTCTTTTATTTTGAATTGTTTACAATTAAAAGTAATAAACAAAGTAACTAAAGATCAATGTAGCACCGTCAATTGAACTTATTCGCATGTCTATGAAAAATGTAAACACATTAAAACAAATTTTCAGACTCTATAAATACAACATCTTTAAACAACAACACCTACTATTCTGAACATTTTTTATATCTCTTTCAAATTATTATTTCATAAATATTTAGTTTGATTTACATGTTAGGCGTAATACTTTGGTTCATGTTTGTTTTATATGATCTTTTACGCGGCTAATAATTAACACTAGAATGGCTTTGTCTCCCTTATAATTGTGACGTCTTTAATGGGAAGTAATAGCAAAATAATTAACAGAAAAATGTATGTCCAGTATAAATTGTGTTTTGGAAGTTAGAACATACCATCATGTGACGAAGTAGTTGAACTAGTTAAAGTGTATGTTTACTATATCAATTCCATCTCGTTCGGAGGAGTAGACCCCCCGAAGAGATGCCTGGAAGAAACTATGATTTCAACAAAGAAAATATTCAAAATGTAAACACTAGGTACTAAAGGCACTGCACTGTAGACGTTAGGCCTAGGTTTGTGATTTTAAAATAAAATAAAGACGTAGCCTACATGTAAGTTCAAACACGAGAAAAATGGCCCATTGAGGAAGGCTACAACGGGTGCTAGGTTGATAGTGCTGTCTCTTTTCTCTAAACAAAAACCAACCCCCTCCCCCCCCCCTCCCCCCCCCCCCACACATACTCCAAAACATGTCTACCGTCCCATTCAACGAAATATAATTATATACTTTTCCAGTATCCGCCTCCTCCCCGAAAATTCTACACCCGCCCCCGAAAATTTTAAGTACCCCCACCCCTCTCCGGGGAGGAAAAAGCCTGAAATAAATACTAGACGCATTTGTAGATCATACAAACTAAAGGAAGAATCTGGGCGGGGCTTCGCCCCTACCGGAAGAGACGCATGAAAAAAACTGCACGCTAAACACTTGTTTTAGATTAGAAAAATTCCTCCCTCCTGGGAGGAAAAAGTCTGAAAGAAACACTGGTTTTGCGCTTAGCCACTACCCGAAGAATTAGACACATTAATTAGGCGGTAATTTTATTATAGAGTGTCGATGAAGAAATTCTTTTGAGTTGAGGAGGGGGGAGGGGGCTTAAAAGATTCTCTAGTAAACATTGAATTTAAAAAGCCAATTTTGTCTAATCTAAGTGGTTTGCGTGAAGAGTTTCTTTCATACAATTCAAAAGAAACCCACATCCAAGGTATGACGGGTAAGTCTAGTATTTAACTAAATGTTTCAACTTTGCATACAAAACAATATTTTTTTTTGTTAGAATCTGTATAGGACAGGTATCTATTTTAATTTATTTTGAATAGCAGCCAAAAAAGACATTATCAAGTAAAAAAAATGTAATTCAACTGTCGTTTTCAATTGCTTAACAATAAAGAAATTGTTATTTCAACAATGTTTTTTCGACCCTCGCATTTTACTTTTATATTGATAGAAAACGATAGTGAATCATATCAAGTTCACATAATTACTTAACGCTTAAGGAATTTCGTTTCCATTCCAATATTAAAATAATGTTCTTTAACTCAAACGGTTTATAAATATTTTACTCAATGTTGTTTACTGAATGATTTTTAAAAAATATTTGCATATTTTGCAGTTATTAATATTGGTATTTTTTTTATTTCAGTATTGGAACCATAATTTTAATCACACCAAACTGTAAACTATTCATTTGACATGTGTTAATCATAAAGACAAAACCTCGAAAAATGTATTGAATTTTTATTTGTTAAGTGTAGACGTGACATAACAAAATATTCGTATTTATAAAAAAAAAAGCTTTCATTCAATTAGCCATTTGGTAACTTCTTCAGAAAAATCAAAAATATATTACAGCCTTAAAAATGACCTCACAGTTGCATCTTTACAATATACAGTATAATAATAATAAGTATGTTTAAAATATCACCACAATGACATTAGTTTATTCATCAATATATTGTAAACTTTTCATCACTTGATTATTATATAAAATTAACCCAATACTTTACACTGGAGTTAAAAAAAAGTATTCTAAGAACAACATCAAAATAACATCATTGTATTCATGGCATAATTGTAAGCAAAATATTTTCCATACATAGTTGTAGAAAGTACCACATGGGTCGGAGACAATATAGAAACCGTTTTAAAAAAAAAATCAAACTGAAAGAACAACTAAAGTGTAACTTTCATGGGATTCTAAATGTAAAATTAAAAAAAAATGTATGCACATTTACTTTTAAAGAGTCAAATTAAGTCCAAAATTAAAGTTCATTATTATTATATTACCATGTTGAAGGCTAATTAGATGTCAATGCCAAAAATCTGGAACATTTTAACAGCTTTAACAATAGAACATTTTTTTTTAATCCAACTCTGTAATGACTCAGGTATTTGTCCACGATTAGATAAGGTGTCTGGTCACCTCTAACTGTGGTGTCTGGACATCTTTAACTGTGGTGTCTGGACATCTTTAACTGTGATGTTTGGACACCTTTAACTGTGGTGTTTGGACACCTTTAACTGTGATGTTTGGACACCTTTAACTGTGATGTTTGGACACCTTTAACTGTAGTGTCTTGACACCTTTAACTGTGGTGTTTGGACACCTTTAACTGTGGTGTCTTGTAACTTTTAACTGTGGTGTCTCCTGACGTGTGAGACGAGAGAAATCTTCTGGGCATATTGTGTGCCACACTGGGTACAGGTGTAAGGCTTTAAACCTGGAACAGAGACATGAGAAAATAATAAACAAACCGTATATTGAATTAATATTTTGTTTCTCTACGTTGTGTTTTAAAAAAATCAATAACTTCTTATACATCTGAATAACTATTTTCTACATGGCTTATTTATAATATTTTATAATATAAGATCACTAAAATTGTTTTGATATATTCGTAAGAAACCTATTCCTACCTGTATGTAAGGCTGTATGTCTGTCCATGTCTGTTGTGTCGAACATCTGGGCTCTACAGAAGCAACACACCCATTTCTTATGGGGGAAGTGGACCTTGCAGTGACGTCTCATTTTACCGCGTTCGTTGGTCACGTGACCACACAAGGCACCGTCATCAACAGCTCTTGGTACACAGCAGTGCATTAAACCTTCACCTGAAAGTAAACGGTTATTAAAATAAATCTACTAAGGCAATATCATTTATTTCCGATTTTACAAAATAATTTTATTCTGTTAATACATTTGTTCTTAATAATTTTTAAATTGTCTACAACAACCTACCATCAGTTTGATACATGGAGTCTAAAAGATGAATAAACTGTTCCTCTCCAAGAGCTGCCAGCTGTGGGTTCTGGAAACAAAAACCGTTGGAGGAAAAAGTCA